TACACTGTTTCTTTCAAAACATTGCATTAAAAGGGTGCTTGACATGGCTATCACTGTTTCAATTTTACAGAGAAAACTTTCTTACATCACAAAGTGTAGATCCTAAGCAACCATCACATTTTCACTTTGTTCCATCATTGAAACTTTCCCAAGGGGAAGTGCATGACCTTTCAAGAGAGGTGAAAAAATTCTCAGGGGAGGTGCAAAACGATCTCTGGGGAGGTGCGCACCTCCCCACACTTCCCTCAAAATCCGGCCTTGATGCAAATAAATCACCACAGCTAGAAAGAGCATACTAAAATAAGTAAATTATTGCAAAGTTTGGTTGCGAATTGTTGCAAAATACGGAAAATATAGCCTTGCAAAGTTTGCAAATTTTGTACACTTTTGTATTGCATGCGAAAATTGCAATTATACAAAAGAATACAAAATTTGCAAACTTTGGAAGGCTATATTTTCTACATATTTTACAACATTTTGCAACCAAACTTTGGAATTTTACTAATTTTAGTATGCCCTTCCCGGGAATATACTTTTTTTGCTAAGATAAAAAATTAGTCTATAATGGGAATGTCTATTGGTCCCCATTACCTATTTTTCTTTCTCTAAAATAAACAGCTAGAGTTTTTGTTTCTCTAAATAAAGATAAAGAGCTAGAGGGGGGGGAGCAAAATTTATGTTCTTGTTTTGCCTGTTGGGGGGGGGGCTTTGAAAATTTTACTTGTCTTAAGAGGGGGGTAACGAAAAAATATTATAACTGTAGAGTTTCTCCTCAGTCCCCCCCTGTACAATAAATAATGAGCGGCCCTTAATTCATCAGATAAAAATACATATCAGATGTTACATTGTTCTATTCAATAGCTAAATTATACCTAAATATTAATCTATTAAAAAAGCTGTTCTTGAAACGTTCTGTATTTATCCTTGGTCTTTGACTTGAGCGATTTCTGAGGTGTACAGATGTTTCTTTGTACGTAGGGAGGTCATATAACGGTGGTTTTTGTCTCTACTACATTTGTTAAAAAGTCGACGATCACATTTCTCTAAAAGTTCTAAAATATTAAAACTTTCAGAAGTATACCGTCTTTTATAGCATCGGCTTAAAAAATTTTGAACAACTGGCAGTAAGATCAGAAGCACTAGCTGCATAAACTGGAAGGCCATACAATATTTTATATAGGAAGCCCTATTGATTTAAACAAGTGATCTATCTCAGCTTGTGTGCACCCTTCTTTGCGGAAGCTTCGGATTATAAATAAACATTTATTAGCTTCACACAGCGTTTTTACATACTCGCTAAACTTGCAATTACTTTGCAGCGTAGAGGTTCGTATCAGGTTCGATTCCTGCTAGGGACGTATAGTTTTTTTCGCGGCTGTTCCCAGTTAAGTCCAATAAATGTACATGAATTTCCACTCGATATACATTCTAACAAAATCTTGACTTCTATTTATTCCATTATTTGACAATATAGTTAGTTTTAACTAGTTTCATATTAATCTGACACTGCAATCGACCAACGAAAAATTCGTTGGCTCGAGCGGGATTTGAACTCGCATCTTCGTGTATCTAGACCGCCGCTCTACCCATTGAGCTATCGAGTCAACAGGGATTTGTACCGAGTCTTATCCATCAGTGGTCTTATCCAATTTAAAGCCCTGTTTAAACGGATCCAACATTGTTGGGCCAACATCATCCAACATTGTTGAAATAATGGCCCAAACGTTTTCTTTTTCAAATATTTTTGTCAAGACTAGGTTTAGCGTTTGAGTAAAGCTTATCTAATCAAAAAGATTTGAAAGAGAAGCAGTCATATCTATTATAGTAACATTGATGGATGATGATGTTCCAACAATGTTGGATCCGTTTAAACAGCCCTTAATTAAGTGCACGAAATATTTTCGTGACGACTTTCGTGACGTTGTCCTTATAGAGGACGCGCAGTGTTTCAATTCTATTAATCTACTTCAGAACCATCCTCAGAGATACAAAAAACTAGTTTCATATTAATCTGACACTGCAATCGACCAACGAAAAATGTGTTGGCTCGAGCGGGATTTGAACTCGCATCTTCGGATATCTAGGCCGTCGTTGGTCGATTGCAGTGTCAGATTAATATGCCGGAAACTATAGTTTTTCGTATCTCTGACTACTCTGAGGATGGTTCTGAAATAGAATTGAAACACTGCGCGTCCTCTAAGACAAGCGTTAAGTCGTCACGAAAATATTTCGTACACTTATATTGGATAAGACTCGCTACTAATCCCTGTTGACCGATAGCTCAATGGGTAAAGCGACGGTCTAGATACCCGAAGATGCGAGTTCAAATCCCGCTCGAGTCAAAGAATTTTTCGTTGCTCGATTGCAGTGTCAGATTAATATGAAACTAGTTTTTCGTATATCTCTGAGGATGGTTCTGAAATAGTTAGTTTAGTTTAGGTTTAAAATTGAATTTCTTGCCCGTTTCCGCCTGTTGTAACACCGAACAAATAAAGGTCCATTTTCACTCTGGACATCACAAATTTTCAGTTGGAAAAAATTTTTAGAATTGAAAATTTTCAACTTTAAACAATAATATTTTTGGAAAATTTTCTGTTCGTGGAAATTTTTCTTTCGAAATCTTACTTTCTGCTTTTGTTTTGTAGCAAAAAATTTTACGCTTCAGGGTACAAGAACCCACGCCGAACAAAAATACAATTGATCAAAGAGAGATGTCGTGCACTGTCGTATCCCTCGGCTTGCGAATCTGGCCAGAACTGGACATGCAAGAAGGTCAACGGTCAATGGCGGCTTCGGAAATGTCGACGCGGCACTTCTCCGAAACGGCCCCGAAGTTTGAGTCCAAGAAACTATGGTATGACGACGAAACGGTGCAGGTGTCCCAAGAAAGAAAGAGGTTTGATTGCCATTATCAACACATGTTTAATACTTAAAGATTCTGTAAAGTCCATTCTGCGCATCAGTTCTGCTCATAACAAAGGGGGAACCCCGCAGATATAAACATTACCCAAATTTTGCATCTTTCGAACTTAACTCCAGGTTAACCGAAAAGTAAAAGCAAACTTCCTGACTGTTTTTTCTATAAATTTCGAAATATTTCTTCAGAGATCTTGGAACGATAGGAGTTTTCATCTCTGTCTGAAGTTTTGAAATAAACAGACGTGCAGAAATACACAAACTAAAACAGCAGGTTAAATTTTAACCCATGTTAGCGCTAACCCACCTTTGAACAACCGGTCCCAGATCTTTATAAGAAAAACTATAGTTTCATATTAATCTGACACTGCAGTCGAGCAACGAAAAATTCGTTGGCTCGAGCTGGATTTGAACTCGTATCTCTGAGGATGGTTCTGAAATAGAATTGAAACACTGCGCGTCCTCTAAGACAAGCGTTAAGTCGTCACGAAAATATTTCGTGCACTTAAATTGGATAAGACTCGCTACCAATCCCTGTTGACTCGATAGCTCAATAGGTAGAGCGGCGGTTTAGATACCCGAAGATGCGAGTTCAAATCCCGCTCGAGCCAACGAATTTTTCGTTGCTCGATTGCAGTGTCAGATTAATATGAAACTAGTTTTTCGTATCTCTGAGGATGGTTCTGACAGAGAAATAAGAAGATGACGTAATAATACGAGGCGCTATATTTTAATACAAACAAATAAAAAACAATTAATGGACAACTTGCATGTTAGACAAATTTTTGATCTAACCGATCTAGGCAAAAAAAAAGTAAATTCCCGTTAAGAACTTATTAAAATTAGTAAACGTGCAAAAAAATTTGGTTGCGAAATGTTGTAAAGCTTGGAAAATATAGCCTTGCAAAGTTTGCATATTTTCAGTATATTTGGATTACGTGCGGAAATTGTTACCATTTTCGGCTAAAAAATGGTAACAATTTCGGCTCGTAATACAAATATACTGAAAATATGCAAACTTTGCAAGGCTATATTTTCTGTATTTTACAACATTTCACAACCAAATTTTGCACTTTTACTAATTTCAGTATGTTCTTTTTAGCTGTGGTGTTTGATTCCCTTTTCTATGCTTAGATTAAAATTTAGTCTAACATGCAAGTTGTCCATTGCAAATGATGATGTGTAATCGTCATTAGCTTAATAATTATTTACCGTCGCCTTTCTTCACGACAGGAAGACGCTTCCGTCGTTTTGGAAAACGGGACGTGGAGGAGAATCCCCGTAGATCCTACCGCTGGTACATGAAATCTTCACTTCACCGCAAAGAATCGAAAAAACTTGACAACTACGGGCGCCACCTTAAGAAGGAATCATCAGCCAAATATTACAAGAAAATGTCAGCAAAGTCTTTCCAGGACCAGTGGAAGAGGCTCAACTCAAGAATTCAAGCTTCGCAAAAACGACTTTCTGAACTTCGATCAAAGAAGAAATCCCTGACCACTATGATGTATCGAGAAACCAGTAAACCTCAGGTATACTGATCTCAATATAAGCCTGGATTAAGCTACTACGGTTGTTTGGTCAGTCAGTCAGCTTATTTCAGAATACTACTTGAAATGGAGCCTTGCGTTTGAGACATTTTCGTATGTAGTTTAGACACAAACTATGGCTGTTAATTGTAGAATACTACCTACACTGAATCACCACGTTTGAGATATCTTTTTCAGGTAGTTCAGACACAAATCACGACAGCTTATTGTAGAATACTATCTACACTGGACCACCACGTTTAAGATATCTTTTTCAGGTAGTTCAGACACAAACCACGACAGCTTATTGTAGAATACTACCTACACTGGACCACCACGTTTGAGATATCTTTTTCAGGTAGTTCAGACACAAACCACGACAGCTTATTGTAGAATACTACCTACACTGGACCACCACGTTTGAGATATCTTTTTCAGGTAGTTTAGACACAAACCACGACAGCTTATTGTAGAATACTACCTACACTGGACCATCACGTTTGAGATATCTTTTTCAGGTAGTTCAGACACAAACCACGGCAGCTTATTGTGGAATACTACCTACACTGGACCACCACGTTTGAGATATCTTTTCAGCTAGTTCAGAAGCAAACGTCATTTTGTTTTATTTCCTAGAAGAAAACGACATGTCGTTGCGTCAATGGAAAAGCGGTACAATACGAGAAAGTGAAAATTAATCAAAAGATTCCAAACAAGAAACTGAGTAAGAAAGAAAGAAAGCGATTGTATCGGATAAAAAAGAAAGGGACTTGTAAGGTGCCTGCCGTGAATTGCTTCTTACATACAAACCATCATTGGAAGACTGAGCCGTTATGGAAAAGTAGGTTTAAATATTTTCTTAGCACAATCTAATCTAATCCGAAATTAAACATTGTTTCCTAGCTATGTTTCAGAAAGGTGGATAAACCAGGAAATATTGTTTCCCAGCCATGTTTCCCAAAGGTGGACAAACCAGGAAACATCGTTTCCTAGCCATGTTTCCCAATGGTAGACAAACCAGGAAACATCGTTTCCTAGCCATGTTTCCCGAAGGTAGACAAACCAGGAAACACTGTTTTCTATAGCCGTGTTTCCCAATGGTAGACAAACCGGGAAACATTGTTTCCTATAGCCATGTTTCCCAATGGTAGACAAAACGGGAAACATTGTTTCCTAGCCATGTTTCCCGAAGGTAGACAAACCAGGAAACATTGTTTTCTATAGCCATATTTCCCAATGGCAGACAAACCGGGAAACATTGTTTCCTAGCCATGTTTCCCAAAGGAGGACAAACCAGGAAACATTGTTTCCTAGCCATGTTTCTCGAAGGTGGACAAACCAGGAAATATTGTTTCCCAGCCATGTTTCCCAAAGGTGGACAAACCAGGAAACATCGTTTCCTAGCCATGTTTCCCAATGGTAGACAAACCAGGAAACATCGTTTCCTAGCCATGTTTCCCGAAGGTAGACAAACCAGGAAACACTGTTTTCTATAGCCGTGTTTCCCAATGGTAGACAAACCGGGAAACATTGTTTCCTATAGCCATGTTTCCCAATGGTAGACAAAACGGGAAACATTGTTTCCTAGCCATGTTTCCCGAAGGTAGACAAACCAGGAAACATTGTTTTCTATAGCCATATTTCCCAATGGCAGACAAACCGGGAAACATTGTTTCCTAGCCATGTTTCCCAAAGGAGGACAAACCAGGAAACATTGTTTCCTAGCCATGTTTCTCGAAGGTGGACAAACCAGGAAATATTGTTTCCCAGCCATGTTTCCCAAAGGTGGACAAACCAGGAAACATCGTTTCCTAGCCATGTTTCCCAATGGTAGACAAACCAGGAAACATCGTTTCCTAGCCATGTTTCCCGAAGGTAGACAAACCAGGAAACATTGTTTTCTATAGCCGTGTTTCCCAATGGTAGACAAACCGGGAAACACTGTTTCCTAGCCATGTTTCCCGAAGGTAGACAAACCAGGAAACATTGTTTTCTAGCCATGTTTCCCAATGGTAGACAAACCGGGAAACATTGTTTCCTAGCCATGTTTCCTGAAGGTGGACAAACCAGGAAACATTGTTTTCTATCCATGTTTCCCAATGGTAGACAAACCGGGAAACATTGTTTCCTAGTTGTGTTTCCTGAAGGTGGACAAACCACGAAACATTGTTTCCTAGCCATGTTCCCCAAAGGTGGACAAACCAGGAAACATTATTTTTCCCAGCTATGATGTTTCCTGAAGGTGACCAAACCA